TATGTAATGTATTCCTTTTAAAATCAGTCTTAGAGCTTTCTGGCCACTTTGGTTGTCCATTGAGATACAGTTCTCTGTGTTCCCTAAGAAATATTTGTTGAAAGTCACCAAAAGCATGGAAATTGTGCTTTTAAATATTATGAATGGTTACTGGCATTTTTAGCAAGATGATCCTAGCCTTCTTTTAAATTAGTAAATTATATAACAGACTCAGTTCACTCCTCCTACCAGTATATTCTAGATGTAAAATGTCTATTACATGACATTACTCAAGAGCAGCAGAACAGCCTCTGGAGAGCACTTTGCAGAAGCTGGTTCCTGGCTGGGTATCAGAAACAGACTGCAGTGGGTCTGGGTTTATCTGCCCACTGCCATGTCTCATCTTCCATCTTCTGGTTCTTGGGGAGACTCTTCTTTCATCTGGTTGGTCCTGTGTTGCTGTCATCATGGGGTACCCTGGGCCACCCAGATGAGAGTGAGCCTGTGACCCTGTAAAGCGGATTTAAGCACACCACACCCCAGTGCCACTGTTTAGTGTAGAGACAGATGTATGACTCAAAGTCCTAGGGTCCATGGCTAGAAAATCAGACTGAGAAGAAAGCCAGGTGAGGTAAGCGGATGGCATGCTCCATGCTTGACATCCACAAGAAGGTTCCTCATTAAGTCATGCAACACAGTGTCTTGTCATTTAGGTAGGCTGCAGTTGGATTTCCATAGCGTGTAACAAAAAGCATCCCAGTGAATATGGTGTTTCCTTTTCTTAACCTTTGAGATTACCTTTGAGATTAACCTTGAGACTACCATTTAGGTGATACACCTAAGTCCAAGACACACTAAGCCCAAAAGCTCATGTCAAACAATTCTTTATTTTTTTATGGTACAAATTAAAAGTGACAGATCTGAAGCTGTTAGGAAATACACAAAGTGCAGCTTTACCGACCATACAGATATTGCTCTAGATTAAGAACAGTTTTTTTTTTTTTTTTATTTTTTTAAACATTAAGCAACCTGTGCAGATAAATCAGCTTTGGTTTCAATGTCAGAGCAAGTAAGGAGCTTTTAAACATCCAGTTTGGCTTCTTGGTCACAAGTCTATCATGTCAATGTCTCATCATGATGATTTTTCCAGAACAACCCAGTCTGTTTTTCCTGCCCTCCCTCTGCTGCCTGCTCCAGGCATGGAGAAGCAGATCTCTTTGCAGCGCCTCATTAAGTGACCCTGGTGACCAGTCTAGACCACAGCACAAAGGACAAAAAATAAATAAATAAATAAAAATAAAAAAAATTAAAATGAATTTTAAAAAAACACTTTTTAACAACAAAAAAACCAATGTGCTTCATATAATTTCAAGTTGAAGACAAGCAAATCACATGACAAAAAGCTCATTACAAAATGTTATCCAAACAGATTTTACAGTCAAGCATGAAAATGAAAATCAGTTTAATTTTTCTCCATTTTCTTTGAGCTTGGTCATTAACTGGGTACAAGTAGAGTGCTGAGGTAAAACACTGATGAACAGTTTGTATTTTATTCTTAAAATAGGAACAGTTTAGTATTGCAAGATTGTCAGCAACATTCAGCCATATCTACACAATGTGCATATACCTACAAATATTGAGCTTTGGTCCAGCGTAGAGAAGACGAGCAAAGGCAATTTTCGATTTCTTTTTGGTTATAGCTTGAGTTCTTTGATATGCCTCTACCTGTTTTGTTTTTTTCCCCTAGCTCCTTTTGCTTTTTGTTCTCTCTTTTATGTTGTGGTGTGTGTGTGTGTGTGTGTGTGTGTGTGTGTGTGTGTGTGCACGTGTGTAGCTGTGAGATTATGACATAAAGAATCTAAAACCTTGCAAATGCAAGTGAAACCTTGAACTATTGAAAATACTGTTTTTGGTTGAAAGAGGAAAAAAACCCACAAGCAAGTGTAAAACACAATGTCTATTATTATATTTCATCAAATAATGAAGAAAATGAAGATGACAATAATGTAAGAATGTGTGAGAAAGATGTTGAAGCTTGAAATACAACCACATATGCCCAAAGTGGCTTTTACTTTTTGTTGGTGGCAACCTTAACCTTCAGTTCATAGAAACAAAAGACACTTAATGTTCTTGGCTTATGAACTTGTTAACCAGAGGAAATAAGAAATGTCTTCATAAAATTAAGAAGTAAGTGTGGTTCTGAAGACTTATATGTTACAAGTACAATTTATATTCCTAAGAATCTGTTCAGGCACCTTTTTATGCCTTGTAGCAAAAAATTCATCTGTAAAAAATTAATATAAGAAGCATCACAACACTATATAAATAATTTATAAAACAATACAAAATTATAAAACTATAAAAAAAATCACCGCACATGAATGGTTTTACAACCATGGGATGAATTTATTTCTCTTTTGTTCTACCCTGGGTGGTTACTTTTGTTTCATATTTTCACTGTCCTAGTTATACCCTCTCAATTATAGATCTCAGAACTGAACAGGCCTTATGCGCCTGCTGCTGGCATAGTTTTAAACATTTAGTATCCGTCATTTGTTATCTTGTTAACTTCTCTTCTTGGGGAGCTTTTCTTGATGGAATTTGGAGCAGGTCCTAGGAGAATACAAAATCTGTTTTAATCAATAAAGTTTTCAGTTTCTGGGTTGCTGGTATTTGTGCAGGTTTTGCAATGGTGAGATGCTATCATGATGCTGTTGGCATTCATCAGGCTGGTGTGGTCCACAGCATCAGACTGGTGGCCTTTACCAATGCCTTGAGTCACTTCCAGGATTATTACTAAGTTTTAGGGTTTCCTTGTTTGTAATCTCCTGACTGCTGCATGAACCATCTGATGCTCACTACCATGAACCATCCCATGCTCACTACCAGGAAAGGAGCCAACAGAAGAACAAACCAGGATCCCTAGCTGGGAGGAGTGTGCTAGGGGAAGGAGATGGCCTTTTTAATCACTGGGCTACATGTGGTGAGTCACCTCTTTCCTTTTCATGGTTCACCTCTAGACAGCACATGAGTGTGTTTATTAATCACTCATGAACATTCACATTTGACAGCAAGTCAATTGATGGTTCTCTTTTGCCTCCTTTGACAGAGACTTCTGCCTACATCTGGGTGTAAATACCACCTGCAGGCTCAAGCTGTTCCCCTGCCCTGCCATCCCCATCCTCAGTGCATTCTGGGAGCTTCTTGGGGTTATCATAATCCACGTCTTGGGAAGCTGTTTTAAAATGAACTGATTTGCTAGCTCTGATAGTGAAGGCTATTCTCACGTGTTATATGAGCTACTATTGTATATTATTCTTTTCAAGGAGACTTTTCCTTTTTAAAGCTTCCTTTGTTGTCAAGAATTTAGACCCCCATTCCAATTGTTCAAATTTGCCTGTCACGCTTCTCCTCCATTTATACATCCTAAGAACATTTGTCCCCTTACTCCAAAAGGCTGCTATCACTGTCTGATGATAGAAGCAGAGAGAGAAGGTGAGGTTAGCACAACTCTCTATGGCCCTTAGCAATCTAGGTCACCGTCACTTTCTTTGCGGTCTCTCTGTGCAGGGTGGATGGATGTGAGCATGCTTGTGTATGTTTTGGCTGAAACCGTGAGGCATTTCTTTGGCTATCAGACTTCTGAGAGAAATTGCTTTGCACAGAAGCATAACACAATTGAACCAAAATGTGCAGCTTATGTTTATATTACTGAATTAGTTTTGGTCAGCTCTCCAAGTACATGGCCAGCAGACTGAGAAAAATCCTAAGCTCTGGTGTGGACAGTGAGCACAATTATGGCATCTGCCAGTGTTGACAGCCATCGAGCAAAGCCCTAGTTATTTTTGAGTCTCTCCTGCATTTCCGCAGGATCTGAGTGGAAAAGACACTGTTTCTCCCTACTTCTGCCACCTTCCAGCAGACCCTGGAGGCCTCACGAGAGGGAGACAGAGAGATAGGGAAGAGGGGAAATGTGAGCTCCATTTTCTTTCTCAAACCCACAACTCATGAGAAGAAAGCAACAAATGCTTTGGCACACAATCCAGGTTGCCCCCACCCCTCAGAAGAAAGTAAAATGGAACAAAACAGTCCCAAAAAGAAGCTACTTCATCTGTCAAGAAGCAAGTTGATAGTGAGTGAGCCTTATAGAATGTGTCAACAGTGGCACCCACCCCAATGGTGGAGACCACAGATGGGGAAGATGGGAGAAAGCAGGCTTCCTACTTTTCTGTTGGTACAAATGTGGAAATTCATAACACAACTTTGCACACAGAGGAGAGTAGACGATCGCGTTTGCAGTGTTTCTGACTTTGGTTAATAGGTTTTGCAGTGATCAGCACTTAGTTCCTGAAGGGACACAGTCATTCCTCCAGGTGGCGGACTTGCATTCGTTTTGAACAGACACAAGTTTGTAGTGGTGCTTTACTGTTTTTTTTTTTTTTTTTTTTTTTTTTTTTTTTTTTTTTTTCCTTTTTCGTTAAAAGGTGTTCACATTTTTATCATATACAGAAAAAAGTATGTGGTTATTTGGTTTGCTTTAAAAAACTGGCTTTAGGGAGACAGGTTGGGGAGAGAACTTTCCTACCACACACTCCTTCCGTGTGGCTTTTTTTCTCATTTAAAAATTTGCAAAAAATTTCTTTTATTCTTCTTGGAAAACCGACGGACATGTATAAACCATTCTGCCCACTTGGTCGCTTTCTTAGTCTTTTACATACAAGGGTGATGCCTGGGGTGTCATTAAGTTTCTCTTTCTTTCTTTTTTTCTTTCTTTCTTTCTTTCTTTCTTTCTTTCTTTCTTTCTTTCTTTCTTTCTTTCTTTCTTTCTTTCTTTCTTTCTATCGTCTTTCTTTCTCTTGTGTAGATTCAAGGGTAGTGTTTAGTTTCTGTTGAGTTTGCTTTTGATCATGGATGGGTGTCTCTTTAGGAGTTTTCTTCAAGAGAGTCTGTGAAGGGCTCCCTCGGGACTGCTGAGGCCGGCTCAGGCTGCTTTAAGCGTTTAATTGTGTTCTTCAGGGCTTGTCTTTTATTGCAGAACCAAACTCTAACTACTTCCCGGTCATAGTTCAGCTTCTCAGCAATTTCCGTCATTTCCTGCCCCGAGGGGTGTGTGTTCTTCTCAAAGTGGGCATTGAGGATCTCAAGGGCTTGGGGTGTGAAGGAGGTACGCCGCTTGCGCTTTTTGGACGGCTCACTCCCAATAAATTCCGTGAGGTTCTGCATACCTGCTCGGTGGCGGGCCTCAGCCTCAGCCATCCACCGCTCAAGCACCGGCTTGATCTTCTGGGCACTTTTAGGGGTGATGTCCAGCTTTTCAAACCTGGCAGGATACAAAAGGCCAGGGTTCAGTTTGGCTGTCAGACTGCTAGCTATAGTGTTCTCTTGGGCTTCCTGTGGTAGGAAAAAGTGGCTTCTCAGGATGGTGTGTCTGGGGGGAGAATTGAGAAAGAACAGTCTTACACTGAGTCCTCTGCCAGGGTGGGCCTCCTGCCTGCCTGCCTGACTGCCTGGCAGGGCAAATTCACTCCAGATTAGCAGCCAGCTGCAAGGTAGCCAGCCCTGCCCCAGCCAGCACCCACCCTCCCAGCAAGCTCCATGCCAGCCATGCAGATGCCCACCACGCACACGGACAGGGGAGGGGAAAGGTGTACCAGAACACACATACTATCAGGATGGGAATGCAAGCAGTTTGCAGGCCTTTCCGCTTTAAGCTCTGAGATACGTTTCTGCCACTGTAGCCAGTTTCATTACCCCCACCCTCAGAATTCTTAAGACAAAAATTAACCCAAGAAAGTGACATTCAAGACAAGTTGTCATATTCTGTCATTTAAAATGATCATGCTTTACATCTGGTTTCCTTTAGATTCCTCCCCATTGTGTTGATCTTGAAAATCTTACAGCCATTATAGTCTGTGATGGCCACTGGGACAAGCTCCACTTCATACCTCTTTTCTATCTCCCTTTTGTGTCTTATTTTAACTTTTTCTCTCTGCTAACAATTTTCACCATATGTAAGTTAACAACATGCCTCCTGTCCAGGTAAAACATAGAGCAGTTGTTACTTTATAGCTCTGGCCCAAACAGCTGGACACATTCTAATTACTATAGAATACACGACCCCTGGGTGGGCATAGGCCACTTCATGCCTTCCAATCACCATCCTGTGTAATGGTGCACTTTTGTGCCAGGGCATCAAGCTGTGTTTAATGTATGATATCTATAAACTGTACTTGAATGATATCATTTTCTGTAAATGAGGTCTTCTATATATCAATTGCCCATCAGCAATTCTTTGCCACACTGATTTTAAAAAATAGGAAGCATCTTGGACAAAATTATATAGCGTGTTTTAAGAAGTCTTCCTGGTACGAAATTCATACTCACTCTAAATGAAATACCAATAAAGATCAGTTCCCTTTTGTTCATTTCTTTTTTCATTCCAAGTCCAAATTCATATCCCTCTCCTACTGACAATGGTGGACACAGACTTTCTCTCTTTTAAAGTGTTCCATGCTGTTGAGAAACAATCATCTGACACGTGTTAAGACGCTTGCAAAATGACAGAAGGACAGACTTCCTTTCTGTGCTTCTGTGCCAGGATCTGATCATTGGCAGTGTGTTTTTAGAGCTCTTATGCTGTGATAAGCAGCCCAAATGGCATCAAAGTCCATTAGGTAGCATTCCCTCTAGGTAGAGCTCAGGGAGGCATTGTTTAGTTTTGAATGATGTACCTTCCAGGACTTATCAAGGAATAAATAAGTACATCTGGTTTCAGAGCAAGTGAGTTAATCATTTATGCTCTGTAGTGAGTTTGTCACCTGTGGCAGGCTCCCCAAAGCCACCACTGTGATAATTAGCCATGGCCCACATCTTATCACCCTTTATCATAAGAGCCTGGAGCTTGAACTCCTGATAGCTCAGAACTGGCTTCACAGGGCCATGCCAAGGGACAAGGCTTGTAAAAGGAACATTGGGGCACATTGTGGTCATCTTTTTTTCTGTGCCACTGGGAAGCTGGGGCTCACACAGCACCTGGGAATCACTGCATCTTATGAGGGCATAGGGACGCCTAAGTGTGCAGGCACCAGGCACATTCTTTCCCATTCTTTGAATTTTCAGAGATTATTTCAAGGTAAGATCTTGCTTCAAGATGCTAATTAATTAATTAATAATTAAGGTAGATAACTCCTAATAAAGATCTCACTGAAACACTGGAAGCTGGAGAAAGGGCCCAAAGTCCGGGTGTTATAAGACAAAAATTTCTCCAGTGTGTCTCTCCAAGCTGCAGGTTTTTTAAACTTCACTCCAGGAAACACTTTACAAATCAGCATATCTGATTGGGGATGCCCAGGAATGCAGGTGTGTGAGTTGAAACATTAGAGAGCACTTCAGTCAATAAGAGGAAATCACATTTTAGGGCTAAAAATAAGCCAAAGAGGAATTTAGCAACAAAGGCAAATTGGCAACAACTTAAAAACCTGTGGCTGCGTCTATCACAAGGCTGTCAGGACTAGACAAAATTAATGTCTCCCAACAGGGAGCAACGGCATTCATATCATTGATGTTGCTTGTTAGTGTTGCTGTTTCTGTACGTGTTGTTTGGAATAACATATACAAGCCTTGAAACAAATTTCCCAGCAGTAGCATCCCTGTATAGACTGAATAAAGGTTATTTTCTACAGGGAGGTATCTTATAAGAAAAAACAGTAGGGGAGACCATAGAAGTGAGAGGATCCTATGGTGCTTTTTGTATTTAACAACAATCAATGGGTTTTATGGAAAATCATTGAGCAAAATGTGAACTGCAAGCTACTACCCCATACTGATGTTATTTATAACCTTAGTCTTAAACTGCAGGAAAAGTACACTTCCGTCCTTTGGGGAATACATTAAAAGTATAAAGAGCAGATAAAAAGACAGTATTTCATGGATCACCAAGAACAAAACCCACTTAAATGAGTTTAGAGTTGGTTTCTTGACTTCTCCTGATGGAGGAGGACTCATAAGGCTTTGCCCAAGAGGAAAAAGCTCTTACTGAGTGCTTTGTTACCTCATGCATAAACATGGGATTAGTGCAACACACACATGCATGCTCGGGGTCTGCTCCTGCCGACTTAACCTGGATCAACTCAGATGTAACCAAGGCTGGATTCGGCCATTTATTTATTTAATTTGGCAGACAGGATGGGTACTATTAGGCCAGATTCTTACTACCTTTTTCTGACCAATTTAACTGCCCCCCTCCCCCCCTGCCGCTCTCTTTCTGACTTTAAAGATGTGTCTGGGAAGGCAAGTTAAAAAATGCCCTCAAGGTCACAAGATAGTTCAGTTTTTAAAAATGTGTCGATTGTTTTGGGTTTTTGAAATCTTTATATCTATCTCTGGGTGGTTAACTATAGGGAGCACTGGCAGCTTTACTTTTTCTCAGAATGTCCATGTGTGGACAGAAGTGGGTGCTGAATCCCACCTAGGGCACCGGGCAATGAATTTCAATGAGCCAGCCTTGGAAGTTCACGTGAGTTGATAGGAGTTAACAGGCCAGGACCCCTCAACTCTGCCTTGATGCCTCCTTTGGCATCAACATCACCATCCCAACACACAGCTACCCCAGTCTTCCTTTCTATGCTCTGTCCCTCCAGCTTTGCCCACCCGAAGAAGAAATGCTGAGCCGCGAGAACAAATAAGGCCCAGGCTGGCTGGGACAGGTGACAGCATGCGCATGTGGCGCCCGTTACCTGCAGATGGCCGACTGGCTGTATGCAGGGCCCTCTGTGGCACTGAGGGCTTGTCCCACCTGAGTCTGCGTCAGACCAAGGGACAGGCGTCGGATTTTAAAAGCTTTGGCAAATTCTCGGATCTCCTCCAGATTAACCCCATCCACCTCACCCGCTGCCGTTTGAGGATCTGTGGAGATGTTTTTAAAACAGGATCAATATGCCAACACACCACCAGGCAGGATGCTTATCGCTGAGTATAAGAAAGTAGCATAACAGCAGTGTAGTGGGGAAAACATCATAGAATCTGGCTTTTTCTCCCAGATGGGGCACCAAGCCCTCATCCTCAAACACATTCCACCTTCAGGAGTCATCATTCCAGATACTTCTATCCCAGATAAAGCAGCTCCTGCTTACAGCCACTTCCCAAAGCAAGAACACACTTCAGGGCTTACCAGACAACAGCCAGCAAGGGGAGGTGCTTGCAAGAGAGGTGTGGCTCAACTTTACCCATAAACCTGTTCAAAGATTGTGCAACAATATAAACATGGGAAGGTTTCTATTGGGAATGTCTTAATTGGAATCTTTTGTGCTAACAATTGCCCTTGAAGAAAATGGTCCCCTCTGTGTTTCTCCTTCACTGGATTGCCACGTAGCCAGGCTAACAGACAGTAATCTTGCCTCATTTCTTATGTTCATATTAGGCCCTCAGAAAGCATGATTATGAAGCAGTGAGAATAATATTGTCTTTTTTTCCCTCATAGCAGTTTACTGACACAGCTGCCTTTGTCTCCTGAAAGGGCACATAATAAAAAATGCCTACCACAGGAAGGCTCCTTTGGTGTGGGATAACGCGGTCAATTTAGGACTTATCAAGGGAAATGACACAACAGCTGGAGAATGAAACTTTCTCCCCCCTGGCTACTGATCCCTGGATAAATGAAAGCACACACCAAGCTGGAGACAGCATGGGTTGGGACTGGTGGGAGATTTCAAAGTGCTGCTCAATCCTGCCTGGAGCGAAGCCATTCTCCCCGCACGCCACCCCTATTGTTCTTCAACGTGCTCTTTGGACTTCGGTGGAAAGTTTTTCTTCCTTTTTCTGCACAATAACCCACCAATTTCAGTGAATTTGAGTTCTTGTCCTAGGACTGGGGGCTCAGGGCTATATATTCTCTAGGTATTATGAAAAGAGACAAACATTTGCATCCTAAGTGACAATTTTAAAGGACTTTTAAATAAGGAATTTTGTACCTCTGTGTGTAGGGGTCTTAGAGTGCATGTATAGTTCCTCTCACTATTGAGGAGGCTATATCCAGTCTCTGTAAAATGCCTTCTGTCACTAGAATTAGCACTACAGATATTTACCTTCACATTAAAAAATAAACCCCTGGGACTGGAGAGCTGGTTAAATGGTTAAGAGCACTGATTGCTTTTGCAGAGGACCCGGGTTCAATTCCCAGCACCCACATGGCAACTAACAACTGTCCATAGCTCCAGTTCCAGGAAATCCAGCGCCCTCTTCTGACCTCCTCAAGCACTGCATGCCATGGGTGCACTTACATACATGCAGGCAATACACTCATACACATACTGGCCCCCCGAAACCAAAAAAAAAAAAAAACCAAAAAAACTCCTGGCTAAGTATGGTGGGATGCACTTGTAGTGACGGCAACTTGGGGTGCTAAAGCAAGAGGATCACTTGAACTGAAGGAGTCCAGGGTCAACCAGGGCAACATAGCCATTAAAAAAAAAAAATGTCCTGTAGAATTTTCATATCAATAGTCATAATTTCATTGTAGAGAGATTAAATAATGATTTGGCCACTACAATCAATTTGTATTTTTAGTGACTCCTAGGGGTCCCAAGTGATGTGGGGAGGCAAGTGCTCACAGTTTATTGGGGCTTGGGGTCCAATACTAATACGTGAAAAACAACTACAGAAAAATGACAGCAGGGGATAATCAAGAGCTGGTGGTGTGACCCAACTCCAGGTGTGACAAGGATGGAGCAGGGACAGGAGGGAGGCCATCTGGGCTTTATAGTGGGTGGCTTCCAGAGAACATAGGGGCATTGCTTTGTTAGTGGGAACAGCATTCAGACAAGCACAGATGTGGACGCCTGTGAAGTTGGTCACTGGGGTAGAAGCTCATTCCAGGAGTGTCGAACATTTCAGAGTAGCATGTTGAGAATCTATGTGCATGGGCAAGAGTTGGTGAGTTGCTTATAAAACTGGTTTAGATAAGATAAAGTGAAATCCTGCTTTTTCTCCCCAAACTTCCTCCCAGGAGTCTGACAACATTGGTTAATATATGACTTGTTTGGGTTGTGTGTAGAAGAGACTGTCCCCTGTGTCTTGCTTTCAAGATTAACTCCCACCAACCAGCACAGAAGCGTGGAGTGGCTTCCAGGGTCCACGGAGGTTCTGGGACACCACATCTAAACACACAGCAGCCTCTAGCCCTTGCCTTCTTTCCTCATTAAAACCAGCCCAGAAGCAGGGCTTGCAAATTAGCTGTGTGGAAAACAGCCTCGGTTTCCAGAGCTGATACATTTTTTGAATTACTTGCCAATAATATAAACACTGATTTTAAAAGAAAAAGCTAGATTTTCATGTTCTTCCAGGTGTACTGGATCTACATTTGCAGGTAGTTGTGGTCAGCTGGAACTGATTCTGACTGCCCTTCAACTGCTCCCCAGCGCTCCTCACTTGCTGCCTGCTCGGTATGTTGTGACCCGTCCTCAGACCATTGCTTGGCTCTGGGGGTGAAGCAGGAAGTCTTAGGTAACACAGTGGCTGTGTCTCCCCAAAGGGTTCCAGTACGAAACAGGGCAAATTTGCAGTTTATCTGTGCAAAAATAAAATCCTTTATGGGGGAAAGAAGGTTTGTTAGGATTTAGGAAAAGTTTAAAAGGTTTACTTGCGCCGGGTGTGGTGGTGCACACCTTTAATCCCAGCACTTGGGAGGCAGAGGCAGGCAGATCTCTGTGAGTTCAAGGCCAGCCAGGTCTACATAGTGAGTTCTAGGACAGCTGGGGCTATAGGGAGACCCTGTCTCAAAAAGACCAAAAAAAAAAAAAAAAAACAAAAAAAGTCTACTTGCAAGGGGAAAGAGGCAATAAAAAATAATAGTTGAAGAACCCTGATTCCCCAATTTAGAGTAGACGGGGGTTGGCACAGAATGGTGCAATGAAAGGAGAAATGGGTTTGGTCTCTTCCAGAGAGAAAGGAAAGAGGTGGTTAGCAGCCTTGCAAGCAGCTGTGGAGGTTCAAAAGTCAAAACAACAGCAACTAAAAGAGACTTTCCTTGTAAAAGCATGGCTTTTGGAACTGTGGGGTTTTTTTAAAATATTTTCTTCATTATTTTTATTTTATGTGTATGAGTGTATTGCCTGCATGTATGTGAGTGTACCCCGTGTCATGCAATGCCATGGAGGTCAGAAGAGGGCTTCGGATTCCCTTGGAATTGGAGTTAAGGATGGTTTGTAGCCACCATGTGGGTGCTGGAAATTGAATCCGGGTCCTCTGCAAGAGCAGTCGGTGCTCTTAACCGCTGAGCCATCTCTCCAGCCCCTCCTTTTAATATTTTCTTTATTATTTTTATTTTATGTGTATGAACTGTGGTTTTCTTAATTTGACAAGTGTGAGAGTCACCTGGTGGAGCAAAGGGCACTGTTTAGCACACAGCACAGAGGTTCTGATGCAGGGGTCCGACTCTTGTGCACACCTTTCTCTACAGTTCTGGCTTCTGGTTTCACCATCTGGTGTGGTGTCTTCTTTGTGCCACTGTTTTTCTGAACTTTTTCTTGATATTACTCAGCAGGTTTCACTGTACAGAAAACCTGCTGGCTCATTTGTACAGGGCTGCTGAGGCAGACAGGGCTGGTGAGAAGGGGCTCCTAAGCAAACTTCCCCCCTCTGTCCTACCCTCATCCCCCACCACATGGGACAGTAGCTGAGCTGTGCAGGTCAGTGGGATTGGAAGACCAGTGAGATCTGTGATTGGGAGTTTTTTCCTCTGTAGCATTAGATACCTCTGTGGGAAATAACCTTTCAGTCTTTACTAGCCCATCTCTAGATCTATCTAAATCAGTTGAGCTAACCAGCATAGGAAGGATTGGTCTGTAACTGGAAGGGTTCCCATGGTCTATTCTGGTACTAGTCCTGTGCTGCCAACAAACACATAAGGGCTGAGCAGGTGGGTAAGGATATGGGTAGTGGTAGCAATTTTATGTAAACGTGTCCTGTCCTCTTTCTTTTTTCCCCCCTGCCTTTATTGTTTACGCCCCCTTCCCTTGGTAATACCTGAATCTTGGAATGAAACTGATACGTGTGATTGTTCAGGTGTGGTGTACTTTGCTCTTCTTTTACTATATCACTGACAATAACCAGGGTTGAAAATAAAGTTGTGGATTCTGAGCTCCTGTGCACTAGGGAGCATTGGTGTGCATGACTAAGGCGTTCTCTGTAGAGCTCAGAGAAGTAAATGAGTTCTGGGACATCAACCAGTGTCTTCCATGACACTCTAATGAGCACACTCCTGGTTTTATATAAAGAGGTGGCAAGAATGTGCTTTTGCGCGCGCTCTCTCTCTCTCTCCCTCCCTCTTTCTCTCTCTCCCTCTCTCACTCTGTCTCTCCCTCTTTCTCTCTCCCTCTCTCTCTCTCTCCCTCTTTCTCTCTCTCTCTCCCTCTCTCTCTCTCTCTGTTTAGAACTCTCAGCAATCTTCTGGCTTTAGTTTCCTAAGAACTAGGATTATAGTTCTTGGTAGCATGAACTACCACATCCAAAGACAAGCAATATTTTGAATTTACACGGGGTAATGGTCTCGACAAAGGCTGGTCAAGGGAACTCAGCATCTCTGTTCAGTTTGCTGGTTGTCAGAGGAGGTGAGTTGCTTAGCTTTCATTATATTAGTGTTCTTATTCATAAAACTTGGATAGCAAAATGTATTACACAATTTGACCCACAGAAGTCTCCTCATACAAAGAAGGGGCCCACTCTTGGACAGATGTTAGCTTTATAGTGATTGTATGGCACGTGGGTTTTTCTTAGACATTAGAGGAATTCTTTAGATGATTCCTAGTGTTTGTAGCTACTCAAACAACTATACTTACTGTTTTTGCCTCCAAGTTTATCTTAAGCTTTTGAGTTGTTTTTCTGTTGCAACAGGTCCCCTTTGTTAAGTGATAAGCATATTCTGCTTGAGGAGGAGAAAAAGTGGTGAATGTGGTCAATGGAGTCTTCCCTGGGATATTACTTTAGCTCTTATCCTTGCTCAGAGTGTGGCATTCCATGGATAGATCAACCTGGTTTCCATTTCCTTGGTCCTATGGGAAATTAGTTTTGAAGATGACTCTGAGGTCTCCTTGATTGGGACCACAAAAGGAAACCTCAGGGCTCCCACAAAGTGGATCCAGCAACTTTAACTAGCTCTAGGGCCACCTAGGCTAGAGCTTCTTTGGACAGAGGAGGAAGTGGCACCTTTGGTCAAAGATTGCCCAAGATTGAGATAGCCCAGCATATAAAATACAGGCCAGAAAGCAATGGTAGTGGTGGCAAGGGTCTACCTGAAATGTGACCCTGGCTATAGAGGGAATAGCTGATGAGGGAATTTTGGGTAAATTGGACTGGGAAATTAGCAGTGACTCAAAAGTATAATGATGACAGGTCCTCCGTCAAACTTAGAATACAAGAACGGAAAAGTAAAAAGATTTTTATGGAAGCTAAATGCAAACTGTGTGCAAACAAACCTCTTTTGTAGAATATGATACATAGTCTCTGTGCCTGTGTGAAACTGAGGGCTCAGGATGTACCAGGACAGATGATAGATTTTTTTTAATTTTTAAAATTTTATTTATTTTTCTTTTATGTATATGAATGCTATGTCTGCATGTGTGTAAGTGCACCGGTGTTGTACAGTGTCTGTGGAGGACAGAAGAGAGCATTAGATCCCCTGGAACTGGAGTTACAGATGGTTGTTAGCTGCCATATGGGTGCTGGGATTTGAACCTGGGTTTTCTGCAAGAACAGCTAGTGCTTTCAACCATTGAGCCATCTCTCCAGTCCCCTGTTTTATTTTATTTTTTTAATTTAGTTCCTTCTCACTGTTAGTCTTGGTGTCTGTGTAAGGGGTTTCCAAATGGACTAAACAGCCTCCATGCATCAGCATCATCCTTCTCCAGTCCCTGATTATGGGAGTGACATTCACCTTTAAGGAAGCTACCAAGAGCATGAATGAAATGCCCTAAGGAAACAGAAACATCACCTGTTTTTCAGTGCTCGTTTTGAAGCACACGGTAGGCGTACTCACCAGACAATTCTGAGAAATGAGAAACCATCTGAGAATGGAAGTACAGTTTGGAAGAGCGATTTGCAGTATGGCAACATCACTGGGTTGTGGACAATGGTGTGAATTATGAGCTGGGGCTTTCTCTGTGCTGTGAGCCATCTTTACGGTTCAGCTCTGGTTTTGTTTTTAAAAATAATTAGCAGTCCTTTGCTCTCTAAGGGTCATGCTTACAAGCCAGAATTTTCTGAAGAGCATAAAGAAAATAGTAAAACTCCACAAATAAAAAGTAAACAAAACCTCATATCTACCTTTTTAAAGTAAGTACACTGCAAATTTTAAACCAAATTGGAACTTTTAAAGTCATTTACTTGACTTTTCTTCTAGATTTTATTAAAGCCAAGCTTAGGGCTGGGGGATGGCTCAGTGGTTTAAGTGCTTTCAGAACAAGCATGAGGAACAGAGTTTGAATCCTTAGAATCCATGTAAATGGTAGGTGGGCATGGAGTCCTATCTTAATTACAGCCTCAGAAGGGGAGATGAGATCCCAAGAGCAAACTGCCTAGTGAGATAAGATGTATCTATGAGCTCTGGGTTTGATTAAGAGACCCTGCCTCAATTAATAAGGAGGAAGGTCTATCTAGAAAGATTCTGGACATCAACCTGGGACTTTAACAGTCATGCATACACACATGCACATATGTCTATACACACATGTGTGTCCATATACATATGAGTGCATATACTCCTGTACATATACAACACGCATATACACATGAAAAAAGAAGAAAAAGCCCAGCTTTTAGAAACAGTGTCTTCCTGAGAGAACTATGGAGACTGAGCAGGCTTTAATACAGGGAAAGGGGTGTCAGAGCTACAATGTTTTCTCTTAATATTTTTATTGATTTGAGAATCTCATATAATGTATTTTGATTATATTCAGACCCTTTCACCCTCTTCACCTCTACCTTCCTATCCCCCTCCCAACTTTATATCCTCTATTATTATTTGTCTTTTTGACAGGATGCTTATTTGGTTATTCTGAGCCCAGATGTGGAGTTCTTTGCATATGAAGATCATGTGATCATTACCAAGAAAATAGCTTGGTATTGTTTTTCCTGGAGTGGGTAAGCTATTTGGATAATATTTTTGGTATATGGAAAATTGGTCAACACTTCTTTGATAGTAATGTGGTAGATTCATCAATGCAACACTGATGAAAGTTTCTGTGATACTGTCATATAATAAATATGATCAAAGTTTCTGTGATACTGTCATATAATAAATATATTCTTGGTCTTTGTCCCTACTGCTTGGCACAGAGCTCTCGAGGCTCAAAATGTCCTAAGCAACACTAGTGGCCAGCAATACTATGGCCATTATTTATTCTAGTATTTGGCTTTGTGGTTCCTGGCACAGAGCCTCTAAACTCATGAAATTTCTTGGATAATAGAAGCATCTTTTTCCCCAATTGAGTGGCTATTGGGTGGCTCCTTTAAGAATATGTGGGTCATTAGAAAGATAAGCAATGGTAGAATCCCAGGGGAGAGGGGCTGAAGATTGAGTTACTAATCAATCATGCCTATATGGTCAAGCCTTCCCCCAAATTCCCAAACTACAGGGTTCAGAGAGTATCTGGGCTGGTGAACACATACATGTATGTGGAGGGGACCTGGCACCACTCCATGGGACAGAAGTTCTTGTACTCAGGTCCTTTCAGATTCTCCCCTGCATCTTTATCACGTGCTTCACAATACACTGATAAACCTGTTTTCCTGAATGAACCATTTTAGCAAAGTATTGAACTGGAAGGGATATTGTTTATAAATATATGAATTATATGTTCATTCTTTTGTTAGGTTTTGTGACAGAAGAGAAATAAGTAACATGTTCAAAATCTATAATGAGCTTCAGTTCAGTAGTGGGTTTGTGCAAAGTCTGACATGCACTGGTATTATTAGACCCTCTTACACAAAGAAGACCTAGAGCGAGTATGTGCTTTTCCTTCAAGTATAAGGGTGTGGTGCTTTCTGCCTCAAATGTATGCAATAAAGGAGTTTCTCTCTTCTAGGTCTTTATATTTCAGATGACTCACCATAAAACTAAAGGTTGATGACCTTGGCTACTATGTAATTGAAATCCCAGCTGGCCTATTAAATCGCTGTTACTGATTTCTAAAAGAGGCTAGTCTTTCCTTGTTCAACTTGTGATAAATGGCCAGAGACAACCCATTTCCACATATCTGTCCATCCACGCAGCCGTCTCTCCATCCATCTAACATGTGTTGAGTAAAATACCTTGTGTAAATGCTGCTTTAGTGGACAGGTATGTACTTTTATTTTTATGTTTCACTTATCCTTTTTCCCTGTGTTTGACTCTGACTTATTTTCTTTCAGGACCAAACCTCAGTAGCTTCCCCTACATTTTTGACACCATTGCTATTTAGAAGTGGAATATCTTGCAGACATACAGAATACTGGGTTCCAGTGGGGTTTGAGTCTTTTTCCATAACAACCCTAGGAGGGGTTTCTTTATGAGGAAAATGTGGATGTAATAAAGTTAATTTTTTTTGTAATAAATTAATTTTATCTATAATTTTATTCAAGTAAGACAAAAGTTTCTTGCCCAAATGAACAGGGGCTGTGTATCTGGAAAGACTAAAGTATTGGGTTGGGGGAAATTCACATGTGCCCTGACTCTGTTTAGTGTTGAGGCATATTTAAGATTGAGAACGTGTAGGCCAGTACACCAAAATACCTGGGCATTTTAGCATCTTTCCATACTACCTCATTCCCTTTTCATCCTCACCTACAGTACCTGTCTAGTCTGATTTATTATATTATTGGACACATGTTTTATTTTTCTTTGGGGGGAGAGTTATTTTGCATCACTAGGTTTGCTATATGCCATGTGAGGATGCCTGTGCTCTAGTTTTATCTTGGTTTCAACTGAATATGTGTCCTCATCTTGTGGCACAGGTGCCTGTGCGGTGTATTGGCCTTTTAAGCCCACAACTGTTGGAATCTTGGTTCCTGGTAAACTATAATCTGTGTACATGCTGTCTGAGTGTGTATAAGAATTTAGTAAAACCTGTACTAAAGGTGAGTAACTGGCATTTAATCAGCCCATTGTCCCATCCATCTTAACATGTTTCTGTTTGCCTGTGACAAACATGTGGTCTTCATCTAGGGTCAAAAACTAATTCCAAAATATCATACACAGAATACCATCTCCATTCTACTTGGAAGCAGCCTTCAAACTCGTTTTATTTGTGAATGGCTGTTTGGTGATTTCCATCTGATTCCAGCCCACGCAGCAGCCCTGGTGTGCCACTGGAGGTGCCTGATGGTGCAGGCACACACCCGCCCACAGGCACACTTTCCTTTCTTTTCCCTGACACCTACAAACAGGACAGCAGGGGACTTCAAACACACAGAAAAGCAGCTTGACTTTCTGGCTTTGTGCCTGTTGTTGGTTATTTCAGCACAGAGCTGTGTGCCTCATGCCCTGCAAACTGATCAGTTTCTACCTTAGGAATCAGCAGGTCTGACTTGGCACATCAGGATCCCTTTAAAATGGAGCTTGGCCCTGGTATTCACTAACCCGTGTGTGTGTGTGTGTGTGTGTGTGTGTGTGTGTGTGTGTTGCCCTAAGGAGCCATCTGGCCCTGGACACTGGACACACACATCATTACAATATTGGCCTATCTGCCAGAGAGAGAAAGAGACAGAAAGTAAGAAAGAAAGAGAGACAGAGAGACAGAGAGAGAGATTTCAATAGACAACAGGAAGGTCACCATGATTTAAATGGAGCCAGAAAGGGTACTTACTGCTGACTAACTGGCCCACGCTCAAAGCTGAAGAAGAGGAGGATGAGGAGGAAGAGGAGGAAGCCTGCCGCACAGGACTTTGAGATGTGGATGCTTGGCCATGAGCCAGGTGCAGAAGGTTGCCTTGGGAGCCTGCTTGACCCACTGACGTCTGGGAGGGTTGGTGAAGCTACACAGGGGATGTAAAAAAAATACAAAAATGAATGAAACATTAGGGGGAAAATGCCAGGGAATAGAAGTCTCATCTGGGGTTGAATGGTTTTATTTCCAAGAGTGAGCAGCATACTTCTGTGGAAGAGCACTGTACCATAGGCAGGATTTATTTTTTGTATATATAATATGTTCTTGCTTGCTTGTCAGGCATTTTATTAGTAATTCTAAATATATTATTAATTCCCTACTTGACTTGCCAGAACACCCAGTTTTTGACATTTCTCAGTCATGGTGTGTGGCTGGATTCTTTTTCTGCCTGTTCATACAATTACCACATACCTGACAGGCTTTGCAAGTATGTACAGATGAAACATAAAGTATTCAACTCACATGCAAATCTTAAAGGTGTGCCCATGCCCCCCACCATTCATGGAACTGATAGTTCGAGTTCATTTCAGGCCAACTACATGTGAGAACCTTCTACTATCCCAGATCCAAGGCTCTGGTGGGTTATGTAGAGTTGGTAACAGTTGATCTCCCCTAGAAAACTGGGGATAGGTAAAGTCAGAACAATACATCCCATAATATCTGCACCTCTCAGTTGTTACTTCCTTTTTATAAGATTTTATTTTTATTATTTATGTCTCTCTCTTTGTGTGTGCATGTGTGTGTGAATATGCACATGTGAATATAGATGTTCATGGAGGCCAGAAGAGGGCGTTGGACCCCTTGTAGCCAAAGTTACAGGAATTTGTGAGGCACCTGATGGGTACTGGGATTTGAACTCCAGTCCTCATGATCAAGCAGTACTGAGCTTGATCTTAACCACTTAACATGATCTTAACCACTGCGCCATCTCTCTAGTCCCTCAGCTGCTACGTTCTTGCCCTGTGCCAGCTGCTGGGTTAGGGTTGTTCATGCCCTGTTCCATTCAGTCTTCACTACTGTTGTCCGTTTCACAGACAAGGAAGCGAAGGCATGGAGAGGATGAAGTGTTTACAGGTTTATCCCCCCAGTGTGGAGAAGCTGGTCTCTGGACATGTAACATCTGCTCCTGGGCCTGATCTGAGAGATACAGTGCCATAAGGAAGAACTAATTTAATTTTTAACGTTTTCAAACTTTGTGTCTATTAAGGAAGGTTGTCTTTATATCTGTTTGCTTATTATCCCTTTGAGGTGCTGAAGGGATTGTTGCTGTGAGATGGGAAGGCTCCTGGATAAAAGGAAGGAAAAGGAAAGGGAGAAGAGAGAGGTTCCAGGCCCACTGGGGGGCCTGGGAGAAATCACTCCCTCTATCCTGTGTTGTCCTTCTAGAAAGATGTTCCCAGGGACTCAGAATGCTAAACAGATGGAAGGTCAGCCTCAGCCCTAGCTACCACTGTTGATTGATTAGCTCCCTTTGGTCCACATTGACAGGTATGGCAAGGTTTTAGAAAAGGGAGCAGAGTTAGAGCTGGCCCTGAACTTTGGTGAGGAGCCATCTGCAGGACAGAACAGTCTCCGACCATCTTCTGAGTATCTAAATGCCAGCCTTTGGTGCTTTAACTCAGTTCTACCACTTTTTTCCCTCTATGTGCTCATTTTTCCAGTTAATCTTTCTTGAGATATAATTTTCACATAAAACACCAATTTTTCAAGCAGTTTGATGAGTTTTGTCAAATGAATATGCCTGTGGAAACCACTCCACAATCAAAACAGAAAAATCATCATTCTACAAAGTTCTCATTCTCTGCTATCAATCCCCATCCCAACTTTCTATCTTGACATTGAGTCCTCTGCTTTCTCTCATGATGGATTCACTTGGCATAATTCTAGGAATGAACCATGTAATATAAGATCTACTCTCTTTGTATCTGCCTTATTTTCTTGGCAGACTGTCACCAGATTCTTTCATCTTTTGAATGCCTCAGTAGTTCGTTATTTTTGATTGCTGAGTAGTATTCCACTCCCCCTAACCCCATCCCTCCCACTATGCTGTTTATCCTTTCTCTGTTGGCAGTAGTTGGGTGGTTTTCAGTTTGGGGCTATTATGGGGGATATGATCAATAAAGATTTTTATAAACATCTGTGATCAAGTTAGTGTTCTTCTGTTTTGTATTTTTATTTTATATTTTAATTTTTATGTGTATGACTGTATTGCCTACATATGTGTAAGTGCACTGTGAAATGCGTGAAGAGGTCAGAAGGCAGGATTGAATTTCCCTGGAACTGGAGTTAAGGACAGTTGTTGGCCACCATGTGGTACTGGGATTGAACCTGGGTCCTCTGCAAGAGGACCATAAATTCATATAAACTGTTCTAAGAAATTCCACAACTGATTTCCAAAGTGGCCATTGCATTTGACATTCACATTAGACATGCAGGAGAATTCCAGTTGCTCCACCATCATCAACAGCACCTGGAATCACCAGTTTCTCCATTCCAGCAATGAAATGGGCAGCCTTGAAAATGCACTTATGGCTGTTTCCCCTTCGTGCCCTTCCCTCTGTCATGGTCAACAGTAGTGCCCTTCATTCACAGGCTGTGGACAGCAGATACACTTGCCATGACTGTGTGTGACTGGTCTGTGTTGCCTCTGACCATCAGACTCTATTGTCCCTCCAACAGAATTGCCTACTGTTACATTTTCAGTGATGTTGTTACTTAGCTATTCTAAATGGAAGGTAGATTATGACCAAAAGATGGTCACAACTAACAAAGGAACCCAAATTAATATGTATTGAGCAAGCACACAAGGTAATTAGCCAGTCTGCTGAGTGTATAATCAACAATTGAATCTAGTAAATTTTATGCTGTATGGACACCTTGTAAAGATTAAATCTACTTTTTAATTTACTTAATAAAATGTGATGGGTATTTACACATCAATCTGCCCCTCTAACCTATTGAGTTGTCCTTCCAAAGACTGTTAGATGGCGAAGGTGTTTATGGGTTTAAGCTCCTGATCAGGAAGCAGTCCTCTGACTTCCCATTCCATCAATAGTTCATCAGCCCTGGCTGTGGTAAGTAACATCAATTTAAATATTCCTTCCTCAGACATGATGTCATGGTAAAGAAAAGCACAACCAAGTTGCAGTGTTACTTGGCAATCGCTAAAGCAAGCTAGGGTTTATGTATGATGCTATGCAGAGAAGAAATCCAAGAGGAAAATAGGATGCTTAAAGGACTTGTTCCATGACTATGCAGTCAAAGGGAGAGTGGAGTCTAAGATTTGTAAGACTCTAAGAAAGTTATTTTTCTTCCAAGGCAAGTAATTTCATTTTTTAGGATATTGGAGTCTTGATTTCTTTTCTGAGTTCAGTCATCTTGGAAAAGAGTATAAGAATTCTTAAAGGTTCTTGTTAAAACCCAACCGGCATTGTAATGGAGCCTATCCACCTGATTCCAGTTACCAGTGTAGACATGTGGATGTGAATTCTAGAAGCACTGTGAGCCTAGATGGTGTGGCCTAGTATGTAATCTCATCAGCTGCCCCAAGTTTTTTCTCAGAGGAAGAGAACTGAAATGGCAAAACTAACTCCATTTGGTTCTACCTGACTTTTGCTTTACCCTGTGCTTTTGCCAGGCTGTTTCCACTGCAGCCAGTCAGGCAGAACATCTCATGCAGGCAGGTTCAGGGAGTATATTGTTTCTACAATATTAGGGAACTTACAAGTAGCCAGGTAGCATGTCCAGATAGCATGTCTTCCCTTCCAGCTATACCTGCATCTCTATGGAGCCCATTGTTTGTGCATTCTGAGAAACTTGTTTTTTCCTAATCAAAGCCTTTTGTTAATTGAAAAGCTCTTTGTTAACTGACCTGCCCCTGGTTTGGCATATGGTGATTTGATTTGACTATAGTTATTTGCTTTGTCTCTGACATGATGTAATTGTGGTTTTAAGTTTTATACACCATGCTCTGCTTCTCCTGGGGGTTGAGAGTTCTCTTGGGCATTTACCCCATCTCTGACTGCTGACTTGCTAGCTAGCTAATAAAGGACTCCTAATTCGACCATCACTATGTGGCATTCCTCTGAGCAGTTTCCTTTGATATTACAGGACTTTGGAAGTACTGAAACATTTGCCTTCTATTCCTAAACTGCAATTCTTTTAAGTAAACACAGAACTCTGTCTTTGATATTCTCAGTTTAATGATTTCGGTATGTTAATTTAGAAATTATGTTCAAAACTGTTTACCCAAGAAGGAAAGACAAAGCAGAAATGTAAGCTATTTCATGAAACAATGCTGTGGTTCCATATAGAAATTTAATATACTATAAAAAGCAGCATTAGGAAAATGTTATTTATGTTTTTAAAGAAATACTGACAATCACAAAAATATATATATATATAAGCATTGGCAAAAAAAACCACATATAAATCTAAAACATATCTGGCCACACAAATTGGGCTATTTTATCAAAGGAACATGAGGTTGTAACTGGAAGTGTGAAGGAAAAGCACGTTCCTTTCTATGCCAGAAGGAAAGGCTAATGCAGGTGCTTCTATGAAGGCAGATGTTCTCTTATAATGCATTCACTGTGAAAAGCCAAGTCTATGGACACCACTTATTGGTTGCTCCCTACATATAAATATAGATTGTTTTTGAACCCGACAATAGCTTTCTTTGTTAGATGCTGGTGATGTTTTATAGAAGAGGAAACTGAGATTTCTAAAGGTGAAGTGACCCATGTGGGACAGCACAGCTAAGTCTTGCCTGCCTGTGGCCTGGTAAGCCTCAGTCAAAGCCTGTACTCCTTCCTCTGGGCAGGTTCAGCAGCCTGGGAAACACAGGTGCTCTGGCTGGGAGTGTAGCCACACTGAGATTCCCAGCAGAAGCCTGCACTTTAGAGCTGACGGTCCCCAGTGGAGACCATCAGCATCTGTTCACTGCAACACATCCCACTTACATTTTCTGGGGTTTACCTGTGTAAACTTATGATATATTTCTACTTTAGAAATTATTTTCTAGGGGTCTAACAGTACTTGAAATTTTATATTTTAAGAATAACATGGGATTGGAGAGATGGCTCAGTG